GATAGGCAGTACTAATGAGGTGGCACGGATAGGCGGCACTGATAGGCAGCACTAATGAGGTGTCACGGATAGGCGGCACTAATATGCAGCACTGATAGGCGGCACTGATAGGTGACACTGATGATGGGTACTGATAGATGGCACTGACTGGCATCACTGCTGGGCACTGACTGGCGGCACTGACTGGCACAACCGCTGGGCACTGACTGGTGTCACTGACTGGCAGCACTGCTGGGCTGCACTGGTGGGTGGCACTGGTGGGCAGCACTGGTGGGTGGCACTGGTGGGCACAGGTGGGTGGGCACAGGTGGGTGGCACTGCTGGGCACAGGTAGGTGGCACTTCTGGGCACAGGTGTGTGACACTGCAGAGTGGCACAGGTGGGTGCACTGCTGGGCACAGGTGGGTGCACTGCTGGGCACAGGTGGGCGGAGCTAGTGGGCGCACTGCTGGGCACAGGTGGGCGGAACTTGTGGGTGGCACTGCTGGGCACCGATCATCAGGGCACTGATCATCAGTGCCCTGATGATCGGTGCCGATCCTCGCTCTGACAACTGCCGGTTCTCAGCAGTACTTTCCTCACGATCTGACAGCGTGAGGAAAGTGCAGCCAAGAACCGGCACTTGAATTTCCCTGTGATCAGCGTGTCATTGGACACCGCTGATCACGTGGTAAAAGGCCGGTATGATTGGCCTTTTACCACATCTCGTGATCGTCACGGAGATCGCAGGAGAGCGCGTTCTGGGGGACGTCATATGACGTCCACCCAGAACTGGCCGGCCGCAGTGAAGCCGTCATTCGGCTATCTGCGGTCGGCAACTAGTTAAAGACAAAAACAGAAATAGTGTAGCGCTAGGAATGAGAACATGTAACATGTTCCCAATTCTGCCGCAGCCGCCCATTGCCCCTCCCTGTAACAACAGTACGGGGAGAAGTTCCCCATACTAGCTGTTAGTATTTAAAAACAGCACCTGCACGCACGGCTGCATCATTCATTCACAGTCTTCTGTGAATTAATGAACTATAAGTCCCAACAGCCTTAGTGGCTGTCAGCTTGTAGTTGTCAGTGAACTACCACAGCAGTAGTGTGTCATGGTAGTTCACTGAATCTTCCTGTCAGTATATCTACTTGTCCGTACATCTCGAACAGGCAAGCAGATACTGTATACTGACATGTCTGCAGGTGACCTGCATGGCGCCAGCGTGATCTGCTAATCACTGATGCAATGATTTACAGGTTCCTGCAGACAAAGATAATAAATGGACATTTTTTTACCTGCAAAAAATGTGCATTTATTTTTTTTGTGCAAAAGGTGAACTTATCCTTTAAAAAAAATGTTTGGAGTGGAGTTGGGTATTAAAGCTATCACTTCCAAATATCAACAGGGTTTTGTGATAATTTGAGTGAGAAAAGTTCACTAGTTGCTTACATGTGGGCAGATGGTCTAGAATAAATGAATCTGCTTCAATATTAGTTGTATGGGGTCTTCATGAAAGTATTTTATTATTTTTTTTAAGTGTTGTTAAATGATATTGGCCATTCTGTGCTCACATTTCAGTTGCAAACATTGCTTAGTGGAGTTCTTATGTATTTATTTACTTGTTTTAACACAGGTCACAGTGTTGTATCGTGTTCCATGCCATGGCCTATGTTACTGCTGGCATTCATTATGCTTCCACCAGCCAATGCACCCTCTTTACCTTTACAGAGTAAGACCATTTTTAAAAAATGAATATTGTATACAAATTTGGTAATATTGGTTACTAATAATGCTGATTATAGTTGTCTGCTTACATTACAGTACATACACCTATGTCTATGAATTATCTTTAGTTAAAAATGTATGTCATCGCCATACATATCCTTGAAAAGATGCCTAAACCCTGGAACAGAAAAGTAATATATTGCAGCTTTCTAGTCCTTAGTGGTTGCATTGGTTTTCATTTTTCAAGAGAATACTTTTTTCAGCAAATGCAAAAATATCTGTCAATATTGTTAGAAATTTAGTATCCCTGTAACATCTGGTGATGGAGCTGAAAGCGCAAAAATACCTCATCTTCCTTTCTAGCCATATTATATAAATCACCGATTCTCTGCCCTCATGTTATGATGATGAAGAATGAAGATGCATTTGTAGTCCAAATCAGGTGTGCAGTGGAGTGAGTGAGCGTAGCCACCTTAGCACAGGAATTATGTTAACTTTGAGATTACCAGTTGAAAACAAAAGGAAAAAAAAAGCCTTAAACTAATGTAATCACCATATCTACAGATCAGTAAGCCACAATACACTATATTTTTCATTTAGGGTTTAGAAACACTTTTAGGAAAAGAGTAAATTTCCATTCTATATGGTTGTTTTAGTACTATGACTTGGATAGTGAAGCCAGAATCAGAATGATTTACTATCCTTCAGACTTTAGGGTTTCCGGATTGTGGCCAGTAAGGGTAGAAAATGTAATTGGGGACAGCATCAGTGAGAATAAACATGGTCTCAAGGTTGGTGGTCAGTAGGAGGAGATGTAGTGCCCCACCATTAGTATGGGGCCACATCTGGACCTCGGGACACAGTTTGGAGACCAATGTAATATACTATGCTATTTTGAAACAGGAAATGTATATGGTATTAGGCCCACAAAGCTGTGACAAGATTCAACCAGGGACCCGAATGTATTACTATAGCTTTTTATCTGTCCCTTCTATCCCTTGAAATAAGCCCTTCTAAAGCTGTGGGGTTATTTACTAAAACTGGAGAGTGCAAAATCTGGTGCAACTCTGCATAGAAACCAATCAACTTCCATGTTTTATTGCAAAAACGTAATTGAACAAACTGAAGTTAGAAGCTGATTGGTTACCATGCACAGCTGCACCAGATTCTGAGTGCTCCAGCTTTAGTGAATCTTCCCTAAAGTGTAACTCTAGTAAGAAAAAAAAAAGTGACATATATGACTCAATGGGGTTGACTTACTGAAACTGAAGAGTGCAAAATCTGTTGCAGCTCTACATGGTAGCCAATGAGCTACTAACTTTAGCTTGTTCAGTTATGTTTTGACAACAAAACCTTGAAGCTGATTGGTTTCTATGAAGAACTGCACCAGATTTTGTACTCTCCAGTTTAAAAAAATAACCCCTATAAATCACACACTGATAAACTTCAATTTATTGCTGGTGTGCGAGAGATAACATCATGTTAATTGAGGTGTTTTAGCTGTTAACAGAATGTATATTGCTTTAGTGCCTGTTTTATGTCTTTAATATGGTGATAACCAGGGTTTTTTCCTCAGAGAGTAGGTGCAGGAACTCCCCCCTTCTGAGTCACCCCTTGTCTCCACCCCCTAGCCACCTCCCAGTACCGCCCCTTTTTGGAGAATGCACAAAATGATACCAAGTAACATTTTCTGGTGCTAAATACTTTTTATGGAATTTGGTGAAGTGTTACTAAACCAACAACAGTAAAATTAGTCTGTATATGCAGAAAAGCATGCTTGTTATACTCATTGTGGAACCTAAGGGGTTAATCCTCTGCATTGTGTAAAAAGGCCCTTTCTTCTCTGCCCCTCTTCTTGTTCAAATGCCCATGTCTTATCTCCTGATAAGACAGACTGAACCATAGCCACATGCACATGCTTAGTTTGGTGTGTATTGCTAGAGAGGTTCTTTTTTTTTTCTTGGGAGAGTGCATGGGATCAGTACGGGGCCAATCAGCACTGTCCAGACAGAGGTTAGGGGTTTTGCATCCTTCTAGAGCAGAAAGAAAACTCTTCCTACAAGCTTTAACATGTGTTCTGCTGAAGTCAAAAGACTGATATATACTGCTGATGAGAAAAGGTATTTAGCCGCTTATATTTATTAAAATAATTGCATTTCCATGTTCTGTGTACTGTGAGAGACCAGATATTGTGAATGCATGGACTGGGATTAGTAACACTATAATAATAACAAGAAAAGCAGTAAAAGAGATCCCTCCAGCAACAATGGACCCCCCCTAGCAACAATAAAAACCCCACCATCAGCAATAATAGACCCCACCCCATCAACAATAGACCCCCCCACCCTGCTACAATGGGCCACCCACAACAAAATGCCACCCCAGAAATGAAGAATCCACCCTAGCAGCAACAACAGATCTCCCAGTAACCAGCATCAATAGACCCTCCAGCAGCCAGCAACAATAGACCTCTCCCTCAACAGTAGTTTCTTCCCAGCAGCAATTGATCTCCCAGCAACAATATATATCCTATCAGAAACAATAGACCTTCACACAAAAATAGATCCCTACCAGCGACAATAGATCCCCCAGCAGCCAACATTAGTAGACCCTCCAGCATGCCTTAGCACCACTTGGCATTACACACATCTAATGCTAAAAGAAAGCCCTGGTCACAAATAAGATATACAGTAGAATTTTAAAACATGCTTTAGTCAGGTAAATATATCAGGAAATAATGGAGTCTAAAATCTGGACAATGAATAGAGCTCCTATCTTGTTTTTAAATGTTTTCTTCTGTCTCTTTTGTTGACTAAATTATTGGTTAAGCACCTCAATAGTTCAGGCTCCTATATACGAATGGTGCTTTGGGGAGTCACAACAAAGATGAGTATCAGCTGGTGGAACATATATGATGGATTTCTTTAAAATAAATAATTAAAAAATGACCAAAATCCATTGTAGGTTTTTTTTTTTTATCAAGGCTCATTGTCTTGCAGTCTTAGAAGCAAAAAATTCTCCTCTACATAAACATCAAGCTACTTCTGAGGCAGTTGAATCTAACTTCACTGGGACTTATTGTTCTGGATGGAGCGAGGGAAGGTTGATGCCCATGTTGAAGGAAATTTCTCCAACAGCAACACAAACACTAAACCCAACAGAGTTCTTAACCCTGTCACAGTCTAAAACAAATTTTCAAATTAAAATGTCCAAGTGAGTCTGTTTTTGTGCCTGCTATTTTTACATTTGCTCTCATCTGTCTTTTATTTCATATTTGTTCTTTTTTTTCTATCAGAAGGTCACATCGTAAATCTTGACGTCTTTTATGCTAACTGCAGCATATCTAAATTGCACCCTCCAGACTGGCAATGGGTATTTTCTGTGCTCCCATAATTGTACTCAAGATAGAGTTCACCATCAAACCTATAGCAGGTTTCTTGTTGGGAATTTGACAGCATTTTGTGAGAAGCAGAAGAAACAGCATGAAAAGCAACCTGGTATCCTTGCAAAGTCTTCACAACCTTAGTTCAGGTTAGTAAGTGAACATACTTGGTTATGTAGAAAGGTAAAACTCTGTGTATATATTGCATGACACTGAATACAAAGATGCCGCAGACTGTCCTGGCAATGAAATGTAATCCATTCTTGGTTTCACACCCTGTGGTCAGTGTATTTCTTACTTGGTTTTATGCTGTTTAGTGTATTTCAGTAGAGGGGCAAGGTAAATTTTTGCTGCAAACTGAAGCTATGGTAACATTTTTTAAGTTATTAAACACATATTTATATGAAAGCAGTGTATTTTCGTTTTCCAATCAGGATGTGATGGAACTTGCCTTTGGACACATAGGGGTTGATTTACTAAAATTGGCGAGTGCAAAATCTGGTGCAACTTGGCATAGAAACCAGTCAGCTTCCAGGTTTTATTGTCAACGCTTGATTGAACAAGCTCAAGCTAAAAGCTGATTGGCTACCATGCACAGCTGCACCAGATTTTGCACTCACCAGGTTTAGTAAGTCAACCCCATAATATCATAGCAGTTCCAGATGTACAAAAAGACATGTATGTGTTTCTCAGGTGTAAGTGCATTGCAAGTTACTGTGTAGGAAATGATGATCAGATGGACTGAGCAGACCTTATTTTCCTATCTTGTTCTTTTCTGCAGATGACCATCTCTGGCTTCATTTGGTCTTGAAACTCGATGAAGATGGGAATGTAACTACTGTGGATGCCCAATATGTACTCAATGGCAGACAGTTAACAAAGAATGACACAAAAGTTTTGCCCATTCTCATTCATCCTGTTGTACCTGAAAACATGACTGTTAGCTCTGATGGCCTTATGGAGGTGCTAAAATATATTGTTGTGCAGCTCTGGAAAGACTTCAGAAAGGAGTTAATTCCTATTCTAAAAAGAAATGGCACACCAGGTAAGACTTCATTTAAGTATGCTGTTATGTAAAAACAATAACATATGAAAATTGAGCTACCATCTTCTTTTATTACATGGTGGTCCAACCAGACTGACTACACACAGTCAGAGAGCATGGAGCCATAGAAGAATATCTGACATTTTGCTATAATTGCTTCCTGGTAACATGTACGAGGGTTCTATAAAAAATTTCTTCCCCTTCTTTAAATTCTATTTAATAAGAAAAAGTGTGGAAACCTTTTGAAAACCCGTAAAGTATCATGTTTTTTTTTTACGACCAAAGCCGTTTTAATGACTATGGATATAGTTACAGTACATGAACTACATTCAGTATATATTTGTATTGTACTCTACATTTAACCATTGAGATTCCATTCAGCTTGTAGCCAGGCCCAGATAAAGGAGGTTGCTGGGGTGGACTGGGCTATTTCCTCCCAAGAATTTGTTTGTGCACCCTCCTAGATCTCTGATAGTGCATCCACTGATCCATTAGCCAGTCTGATGGGAGAAATGATTTAAGGTGAGACATGGAGACACTGCATTTATTGGGACATTCTGATGGGGACAATCCATGTAAGAAAGCACTGTGATGGGGACCCTGGTGTAAGGGAAGGGCTCTGATGGGGACCCTGATGTAAAGAGAGACAATCGATGAGAACTCCTGATGTAAAGGGGGCTCTAAATGGCACATATTCTCTTTATTCATTCTAATCTAATAACAGCCTAATACATACTTGTGTTTCCTGTTCATTCCTGCACCGCTTCTGCACTACCTGTCAGATATTATTTGCTGGCCATGGTTTGTGGTACCGAAGTGTGCTGAGTGAACAGGAAATACTGGTTCCCTGCATCTCTGTCCCTGTGTGACAGGCTGCCAGTGACTCACAGTGATGAAATACCCCCTGACTTTTTTACTGCACCCCCAGATCACATAGGCTAGATCCAGCCCTGGTTGTAGCATTGAAAACAATCAGACATCCATAGTTTTCAGTGTATCCTAGAGCTAGGAAACAGGCATCCCTTTTTAAACTAGTTCTAGGGTGCTTCCTTAATATGTATGAAAAGATAAAACTTTTTCTTTAGTTATATGATAAAGTAGGGAAGGGCTAGGACCTCTGTAAGGTTTTTATTGTTTTCTGTGTCCTCGCTGGGGAAATCCACTCTCTCTATTTGTCTCTGATATAGAAAGTGGTGATAAATCAAAATTTTTGGAGTTGCCCCAGGAGGTAAGAAAAACATCTTTTCATGGGTACAATCGCTCTAGTGACAACTATCTAAGGGGGAAATGCCCCTCACTTTGTAGAGATTTTCTTTCAAATTCTGCTCCAAGACTAAAACAGAAAGTGTGGGGAATTTTCCACAACATGACCCACAACAAAACTTATTTAACAAGGATCTTAAATTTTCCTTTCTCTATCCAGAAAAAACTTTGGGCTATACTTTAAAGTAGTTGTAAACCTCTGACATGAAATATGAACAAAGCATATCCCTCTATAATGTGTACTTGTCTCAACCCAGATCTGCTTCATTCCTCTGCTATTTGCATGAGTCATTTTCTGACAATTGTTCCTGACACCGAGAAAAAAAAGGTGACGGGAGCTCAGACAAGCTTCATAAATGTTGGACTTTGAACAAATGTAGAGAAGGAAGACTGCAGATAAACAGGTACAACATAAGTAAGAGGATTTGTTTCATCTCTGTGTAAAAGGCCAGTCACTGCACTGGATATACAGTGCCTTGAAAAAATATTCATACCCCTTGAAATTTTCCACATTTTGTCATGTTACAACCAAAAATGTAAATATATTTTCTTGGGATTTTATGTTACATAATTAGTCTGGCTGAAAAAAGACAAAACTCCACCCAGTTCAACCATAGAAAAAAAAAAGTTATAACCCTATACCCACAGTTGATCCAGAGGAAGGCAAAAAAAAACCAGCAAAGCATGATCCAATTTGCTCCTGCTAGGAAAAAAAAAATCCTTCCTGATCCCCCGAGAGGCAATTGGATATTCCCTGGATCAACTTTACCTATAATAACTATGTGATAGACCAACACAAAGTGGCACATAATTGTGAAGTGGAAGGAAAATGATAAATGGTTTTCAGAATACTTTACAAATAAATATCTGAAAAGTGTGGCGTGCATTTGTATTCAGCCCCCTTTACTCTGATACCCCTAACTAAAATCTAGTGAAACCGACTGCCTTCAAAAGTCACCTAATTAGTAAATACCCTATCTACCTGTGTGTAATTTAATCTCATTATAAATACAGCTGTTTTGTGAAGCCCTCAGAGGTTTGTTAGAGAACATCAGTGAACAAACAGCATCATGAAGACCAAGGAACACACTAGATAGGTCAGGGATAAAGTTGTGGAGAAGTTTAAAAGCAGGGTTAGGTTATTAAAAAATATCCCAAGCTTTGAACATCTCACGGAGCAATGTTTAATCCATCATCTGAAAATAGAAAGAGTATGGCACAACTGAAAACCTACCAAGACATGGCCATCCACCTAAACTGAGAGGCCGAGCAAGGAGAACATTAATTAGAGAAGCAGCCAAGAGGCCCATGGTAACTCTGGAGGAGCTGCAGAGATCCACAGCTCAGGTGGGAGAATCTGTCCACAGGACAACTATTAGTCGTGTACGCCACAAATATGGCTTGGTGATGCTTTTCTTCAGCAGGGAAAGGGAAGCTGGTCAGAGTTGATGGGAAGATGGAGCCAAATACAGGGCAATCATAGCAGAAAAGCTGTTAGAGTATGCAAAAGACTTGAGACTGGGGTGGAGATTCACCTTCCTGCAGGACAATGACCCTAAACATCCAGCCAGAGCTACAATGGAATGGTTTAGATCAAAGCATATTTATGTGTTAGAATGGCCCAGTCACAGTCCAGACCTAAATCCAATTGAGAATCTGTGGCAAGACTTGAATATTGCTGTTCCCAGACGCTCTCCATCTAATCTGACAGAACTTGAGCTATTTTGCAAAGAAGAATGGACAGAAATGTCCCTCTCTAGATGTGCAAAGCTGGTAGAGACATCCCCAAAATATTGACTCCGGTGGGCTGAATACAAATGCCACCACACTTTTCAGATATTTATTTGTAAAACATTTTGAAAACCATTTATCATTTTCCTTCCACTTCACAATTATGTGCCACATTGTGTCGGTCTATCACATAAAAATCCCAATAAAATGCATTTACGTTTTTAGTTGTGCATGACAAAATGTGGAAAATATCAAGGGGGAGGAAGACTTTTTCAAGGCACTGTATATAAGGGTTTACAACCACTTTAAGGCAATTCCATCAACTCTGGTAAAGAATTGTGGGAAATAAAAACATTTTGCAGTGTTCAAAAGTTTTATTGTTGAGCCCTGGTTCCCACTGATGCAGTGTGGTATTTTGCAGCGTTTTCAGCGTGAATTCCGCACCGCATCACAATCGCACCCCGTGCATACAAACCAATGCGAGTGTGTATATTAAGTTAACAACACCCCGAAATCGGTCTGCAAAACGCGGTGCGATGTGCAGAATCGTATTGCATAGATGTGAATACCCATGCGATCCGATTCTAGTGTGGACCAAAAAAGGGGCCTGCACGTTCTTAGTGCGGTACGAATAGAGCCATACAAAATGTATGTCTCTGATTGCACCACACACAAATCGCATGTGATCTGCTCAGGAGTACGGTGCAGTTCCTGTGTGAATCACATTGGATTTACTGCACCGCTGTAGTGTGAACCTAGGCTAAGGGTACATAGGTGTTTTTTTTAACTTGCATTATTTTTTTCTCCACAATTACACAGAGACTACAACATCATTATCATCATTATCTACAGAACCTACAACGCCATTATCATCATTACCTGCAGAGACTAAGACACCAACTCTAGGTATGTAAACCTAAGGTTCCATCAGACCAAACTGAAGTTTTAATTGGGGGAAAACACCAAAATATACAAATATACAGAAGGAATTAATGCATCCTTTCTGAATAACTGCTCAGAAAGAATTGGTAAGAAATGAAAGCCAATCTGTAGCTACACCAATACAATTATATTTCTATTTCTAATGCTCAGTTGTATTGCAATTGTATTTATTTATGATTTCCATGGTTTTGAATATGAAATCGCTTTCCTCTATGGTCAACCCATTCAAGGAAGTGGGAATATCTGGGGTCACTATGTGCAGAAACTGCTGTGAGTGAGAACAATGTAGCCACCAACCTGACATTCGCAGAGCACATAGTGAGTGGTACTGTGTGGGCAGGGAATGGCCAGTGTATTTTCCTGAATCACTTTTCTAAACTAGAACACAATCTTTATTTTGATCTGCATAATTGTTTCAGGCAGGTACTTTAATTATTTAGATGGCACTCTATCTCATCCATCCATCTATGTCTGCATAATTTATTTTGCTGAGAAATCACTTTGAAGAACACCCCCTTGCATTTCAGGCCAGGGCCATCTTGAGTAAGAGTAGAAGATTCATGTAGCATAACTTCCTGGAATCCATCTGCCCTTAGCTCAGGTATGCAGACAGGAGGGTGTGCTTAGCTGAGAAAACCCCTCCTCCCCTCCTGAAGACACCTGGGATGTATGTCATCCTTACCCAAGACATGGAAATCAGGAAGTAGTTGAAGAAATGTTTAAAAAAAAGTTTAAAACAAGTAAATATGATATCGTTTCTCTCTATTTACTAATGCTTGCAGCAGAAGAATTAAAAATAGTTAATGTTGAATAAGAGAGTGAAGTTCCACTTTAAAAACTTTAAATAAACTGCTAGCAAGGTTCAGATGGTTTCCCGCAAGCTTCAATTATTGGTGGAGGCTACTAAAATCTGTTACCAGCATATTTAAAGCGACAGTCAACACTTTGAATAATATCTATGTTTAACCTTCCCAAACTGGAGCTGACATTTGCTTTACCCTAGGTTCACATCTGTGCGGGTGGTGCTGCTGTGAAAATCCATGGAGCTGCACCACCCACACAGAGAAATGTGGACCCGCGGGCGGGTGCCACTAGTTCTAGTGGCACTCCGCCCGCACTGGAAAACGCAACCGTTCTGGGAACCAAGGCTCCCGTTCGGGCTGCGTTTTCCAAAGAAGTGCAGGGACTTCTTCCCTGCGTGTCTCGGGCACAGGAGTCCATTCAAATGAATGAGCTCTCGTGCCCGTGCAAAACGCGGCCCACATGGCCGCATATATGTGAACCGGAGGTAAAGGCCTTGTTCAAACAGGCTTTAGCAGTAGGGTTGCCACCTCATCCTTTTAAAACCAAACACATATTAATTACACAGGTTCTGTGGCCGATTAAGGTGGTAATTAAACTCACTTAGGCCAGGTTCACACCTATGCAGGTTGTGTTTGACCTGTTTCGCATTGCTGTTTGCATTTTTGCACCTGCATTTTTATGCGTTTTTTTTTTTTAATTACTTTTTTAAATTTTTCTTGTTCCTAGACTTTTAAAATACAAAACACATACAAAATGCAGTAAAAAAAATGCACTACATGATTTTCTGCAGCATTTCCATTGACGTCTATAGAACCAAAGATGCAACTTTTTGCGTTCAAAAAAGTCCCTGACCGTTTCCAAAAAACGCACCAAGTGAAACTGTGGAGATATGAACATGTCCCATAGGAAATAATGTTAAATGGACTGTACTGCATTTCTGCAAAACGCTGCGGAAAACGCTTAGGTGTGAACCTAGGGTTAGTGCCTTATCTGCATTCAACCTCAGAAACTGTGTAATTATTATGGGTTTAAAGGGATAAGGTGGCACCCCTATTTAGCAGTAGTTTGGCAATGACACATGATTATTTTTTCTATCAAGCAGTAACAGGCCTGAATAGACCAGAGGAAGTAGCAGTCACAGCAGACCTACATGCTATAGAAAAGATTCCAGTTAAAAGAAATAAAAGCTAAAGCCCTCAATGTTGTAAAATTGGCCAGTGGCACAACAGTTTACTAGTACAAAATGCACAGTAAATGATGTAGCGCTATCTATAATGAATAATTCATACATACGTGGATAACATACCAGGAATACACAAAATAATTACACTGTTCAACAAATTTTTATTTTTTGCCAGTTTTTGGAAACAAAAGGATCCATTTCTTAATGAATTTCACATTCTGAGTTCAAATATAACAATGAAATTTGTCAATTGGCTCTAGTTTTTTCTGTAAACGGAAAGTTTTTCTACTATAGGCGTAATGACTACATAATGCACAATAATTATATAGATAGATGTCTTTCCACAAATATAAAGCAAGTGATATTGACTACATAACAAAGCCTAAATGGCATAATATATTGCATAGGATTACCAAGAAAAATTATAGCCATAAGCTAAGTTGAATCATTTTAATACTTAGGATTCTCACTAGTTTTGTCTTCAGTTTGTGTCGGTTTTGCTTCTCTTGGCTTTTCTCTTGTATTCGAGGAAAGGGCTATCTCTTACAACTGCACGTGACTACACGCTTCAGGTTCTTCCTCACTTGACTCAACCACGAAGGATTCTGGTGCTTTAGGAATTGGTAGCCCCTCTCCATGAGGAACTGGACGTATTGCCGATGGAATATTTGGATAGTGCACAGATAACTTTTTCTTCTTATTTAGCCCTTTTACAATTGGAGGCACCATACAAAAGTAACAATTACTAACATGATCTGTTGGCTCTCTCCAAATCATTGGCACAGCGAAAGGCATAGATGCCTTTTTTCCATTCAACCATTGCTCCAGTGCCGTCCCACAAGAACTGCAGCATATATGTGGTGCCCAGCTCTTGTCCTGGTCTCCTATCTTGCAGCCAAAATACAAGTTGTAGGCTTTCTTAATCATTCCTGTTATCCTCCTTTTTTGTGAGATAAAAGTTATTTCACCGCAGATATAGCAGAAATTATCTGCTTTATTCACACAAGTTCGAGGCATTACTGAGTAGCCTATATAAGCATAAAACGAAATGTAAAGACGCTGTCGAACTACAATCAGCTACAGATACTGCAGCTTTTTATGCAGTGAAGTGATGCAATTAAAGGCTAATATTGCATCATCTCAGTATACATGCAATTTTCTATTGGTCACCAGTATCAATTGCGCAATATGCAGCTGAAGTTGCATCATAATTTTGAATGGCTTACGTCATTAGATGGGTGAATATATCATGGAAACTAGAGCCAATCAACATTTTTTAGGGTCATTTTCGTTTTCAGCACCCCAAAATTATGTAAGATTAGCTAATTTTATGCCCAAAACTTTTTACCTGTTGAACAGTGTTATAAGTGAAAAATAACAAAAAAATAAAATACTATACAAGAACAATGTGTTGTATATGTGACTTGATCCTCATAAACACCAAACAATACTACTGTAGTGTCCGAAAGTGACTTGATCCTCCAGGGATCTTTTAGTGAAGGAAGTGAATATCAATCCACAAAGTGATAACAATCAAAAGTGTCTAAAACAATAATAAAAAAAAACAATCATAAATTGTGTGTGTGAATTGATCCTAATTAGAATCTGAAAGTGATGGTGAACATTCAAATACAGGTGAAACTTGAAAAATTCGAATATCGTGCAAAAGTTCATTTATTTCAGTAATACAACTTAAAAGGTGAAACTAATACATGAGATAGACTCATTACATGCAAAGCAAGATAGTTCAAGCTGTGATTTGTCATCATTGTGATGATTATGGCTTACAGCTCATGAAAACCCCAATTCCACAATCTCAGAAAATGAGAATATTGTGAAAAGGTGCAATATTCTCGGCTCAAAGTGTCCCACTCTAATCAGCTAATTAAGCCATAAACACCTGCAAAGGGTTCCTGAGCCTTTAAATGGCCTCTCAGTCTGGTTCAGTAGGAATTACAATCATGGGAAAGACTGCTGACCTGACAGTTGTGCAGAAAACCATCACTGACACCCTCCATAAGGAGGGAAAGCCTCAAAAGGTCATTGCAAAAGAAGTTGGATGTTCCCAAAGTGCTGTATCAAAGCACATTAATAGAAAGTTATGTGGAAGGGAAAAGTATGGAAGAAAAAGGTGCACAAGCAGCAGGGATGACCGCAGCCTGGAGAGGATTGTCAGGAAAAGGCCATTCAAAAGTGTTGGGGACTTTCACAAGGAGTGGACTGAGGATGGAGTCAGTGCATCAAGAGCCACCACACACAGACGATCCTGGACATGGGCTTCAAATGTCGTATTCCTCTTCTCAAGCCGCTCCTGAACAACAAATTACGTCAAAAGCGTCTTACCTGGGCTAAAAAAAACAGACTTGGTCTGTTGCTCAGTGGTCCAAAGTCTCTCTTTCTGATGAGAGCAACTTTTGCATGTCATTTGGAAACCAAGGACCCAGAGTATGGAGGAAGAATGGAGAGGCACACACTGCAAGATGCTTGAAGTCCAGTTTCCACAGTTTGTGTTGATTTGGGGAGCCATGTCATCTGCTGGTGTTGGTCCACTGTGATTCATTAAGTCCAGGGTCAACGCAGCCGTCTACCAGGAGATTTTTGGAGCACTTCATGCTTCCTTCCGCAGACGAGCTTTATGGGGATGCTGACTTCATTTTCCAGCAGGACTTGGCACCTGCCCACACTGCCAAAAGCACCAAAACCTGGTTCAATGACCGTGGGATTACTGTGCTTGATTGGCCAGCAAGCTTGCCTGACCTGAACCCCATAAAGAATCTATGGGGCATTGCCAAGAGAAAGATGAGCGACATCAGACCGAACAATGCAGAAGAGCTGAAGGCTGCTATTGAAGCATCCTGGTCTTCCATAACACCTCAGCAGTGCCACAGGCTGATAGCTTCCATGCCACGCCGCATTGAGGCAGTAATTGCTGCAAAAGGGGCCCAAACCAAGTACTGAGTACATATGCATGCTTCTA